AAAAAAATTTAAAATAAAAATATTAATTAAAAACTAGCATCTCAATGTTTAATCATCTCGTTTAATCATCTCGTTTAAATGACAAAAAAATATAAATAAATATAAATATAATTAAAGCTGTAAATGTTTTGAAAATATTACTTAAAATGTGCAGATTAAATCAAACTAATAATTAAATCAAACTAATAACAGGTGAATGTCAAATGTAATTTTGTAACATTGAGTCTTTGACAGAAAGAGGAAATAAGTAGCAATAAGACTCCAAACAGACACCTTCTGTGACAGAGGTGAGAAAACACTGAAATTAAATGATTTTTGAAAAGAAAAGCCAGAAAACATACAGTTTAGTTTATTAGATCTGATTTCTTCTTCCACACCCTCATACCTTACAAAAAAAAATAAAAAAAATTAACATACAAACACAGACAAAAAATGGCCTTTAAATTCCACCATCTCAGACAGAAGGTTAAAGTGTCACCATTCTAGGAATGAAAGCAGATCTTGAAAGAATGAATGACAAGGCAAAGAGGGAGAAGAATTCCCGACGGACATGTGTAATCAAGAGAGACGATAAAGTGAGAGGCACCAGAAATTCGAGAAGTAAAGTTCAAGGACAGATTCTTTTTTCTTCACCAAAAGGAAAGATGATGTCGTTTTGTGTGGGTGATTAGGAGTTTAATTTTCATTGTTTATTCATCTAAAAAGCAGTACTATGCACATTTATCTGTTGATTGAATGAATGGCGTTTACAAGCCACATAAACATCCCTTTATATATCAAATATACCAAATTAACGGTAAATATAATAACAAAAATTATATTTGTATTCATACAGCACCCTTACAAAACTGAAAGAAACGTTACAATCAATAAGATCATTATAAAGAGAAAACAATTCTGCTCAAATGTAAGCAGCGCAGCACGCATGCATGTTGAAAAAGAAAGACGGAAGCGAAAAGTCAAAGGGCGATAGTCTGGAGAGACCCAAAGCATCAATAATGCTCTCCACGTACATTTGTATATATTTGTCTCATATCATCAAGTTGTGCGGAGGGGCTGGTGCGGCCGCTCTGGGCTCTGGGAGGAGTGCCCATGGATGCTCGTGGAATTATATTGTCATATGATTCCATCTGTTGCTACAGCCAAAAGCAGTCCAAATAGACATGGCAGGTGAACACACAAATGCACAAAAACATTGGGACTACAACACATATGTACAATTTTTTTGTGGACTTTGTGTAGTTCTCTTGTGTTTTTGTTTGTGAACAGTGACCACAAGTCTTTGTATGCATAGTCAAATCAGTAGTAAAATATGTGCACTCACATTGCTCACTCCTTTGGTGATGATGGCCAGTTCTGTCGGTTGGTAAACGCAACTTCGGTGTTGGCCGTTATAGCCACTGTATGGGGACACAGGCTTATTGCCTGAGAAAACAATGGTAAACCAAAAATGTTAGCTGTTTGGATTTGAGTACGCCTCTGTGACATACCATATTCCTTATACACATATTTCAGGAGACAAATGGCAAAGCTGCTATATGCGATAAATGGAAAGAGATAGCCTGTTTTTCCCTGAATAATAGTAGTTAAAAATGTATTTCAGATTTGTTATGACACTTATGTTGAAATACAACTCTTTTATTTAGAAATGTTTTTATTTAGGTTTATTTAGAAATGTAAATACATATAGTTAACTAAAACATTTTTGTTTCTTGAAATAAAAAGTGTTAACTGAAAAAAA